GCTACACACGGCGAGTCAAGTGGTTGTCTGTTGGCTACTCGACAGAAATTAATCAGCGCTAGATTATCCTCGCTCAATTTGCTTGCTCCAAAATGATACTTTGCTCATCGTTTTTATTCACATCAGCGTTTGTGCTTCGACAATTGTATGTTATTGAGTTCAGACAGTTCAGACACAACAGTCTCCGCTGCTTATGGAGATTTTCCTGTTGTGCCCCGTCCTTATTGTGCTCCTGTTAAGGGATTTCCTGCCTCATTTTTGTTGGCCAGACATTTTTCTACGTACTTGGTGGAACATTGTACTCTGAATACTGTAAATATTAGAAGCTTATTTGCCTTATATGAACACCAGATTGTAGGCTCCTGTTGTCTGGTAAGCTGCTTTGTGGGAATCGTGTGTGGTGCCAATGATTTGCTTGTAGGCACCTAGGCAGCATTTGTTAAAAATGAGGGCACATTGTTATTTACCATGGTTAACCCGCTGGTCAAACGTTTCAAGCATTGACCAGACACCAACCTCGAGGCTACAGCTGCCCCCGTTTTTGTCTTCTCTTTTCTTTTTTTCAAATCATGGGGGAATGGTCTAATCTTTTTCGACACTGCTGTCCTACTTTAAGGATTCATCTACCATTTATAGAAAGCTTGCAGCACCTCACGTGCTTAAGTGCAATTTAGGGTCTGGAACTAATGGGCCTGAGGGCTAAAAAGCTGTCAAATCTAAGGCAATTTTATTTGGGAGTAATGATTAATCAGAGGTTTTACAGTATTCTTGCCATAAACTCATTAATTATTCATCCTTCAACATATGGGATTACTGGTATGCCCAATGTGCCACAGCAGGTGTTTGGGAACAACATGTTAGCTTTTCATCTGAAAGGTCTGGAAATTCAAACTGGAGCAGTAGAAATGTAGGCAGCTTACAGTAGTGGAAAAATGTCAGTTGCTTACAAACTGCTGTATGGACCAAAACAAATCAAGGGGGAAGGAAGACTGACTTATTGGGGCCAGAGACCCTCTTCCTATGCAAAGCCTGTTTCAGATTAATAACCCGTTTTTAGCAGTGAAATCCTTTTTTACAGAAACTATCCAAAGGGGCAAAGTAAATCAAGGAAATAAAAGCTCTAACCTGGGCTGTGATAGCGCCATGTTAAAGCTCCAGAGATCATTTCAGAAAGAACAGGAGCGGCATCGGGGAGTTTGCTCTCTATCAAGCCTCCCACTGACTCACTGTGAAGGAGATAGCAGGCTGGAATACATGATTGACAGCGCACGGTGCTGCACCTTTCCGGATCAAGGAGGAAACAGCCCATCAGGCATATGATGTATTACCCTCTCTATATGGGGTCCGCGTGTCCTTGTGCAGTTAGTAAGTACACAGTGCATGTACTGTGTGAAAGTTGTCTCTGCAGCAGTGCCTCAATGACAAATGAGGTGCGTTTGATGTGCTCTTGGTGCATAAAGCCGCTGTGCCTTTTGGACACAGTTCTTCGTGTATGAAGGGAAATGGCCGCTTCCTGTTTTATGTTGTGATCACATTATGCTCCTGGAAAAAATGTGGCCCTTATTCTTTTTATCATACACCGGCAAGTAGGGTTGCACGATATTGAAAAAAACTGACATCGTGATTCCCCCCCCTGCGGTATATATTGCGTTTTTTTTATAACCTGTTAAGCCCCAAATTCCCGGCGGGTACTTTACTTTTTTTTTTCACGACACTGTTGCCCCTTTCACACCAGCGCTTTTTCAGCTCCGGCTCTGAAAAGCGCCGGTTTTTCCTGTTCACACCGCAGCGGCGCCGGCTCTTAGCTTCGGAATCCGGTTCACTTCCAGCTCCAAAAAATTGTCGGTCTAGAGGCAAGAGCTTCGGAGCTAAGAGGTGGCGTCGCTTACGTCTCTCTTACGTCGAGGCGTGCAGGAAACTAAACCCACCTCCCCTGAACATGGGTCGACTGTCATGCCTGCCTACAAAAGTGCTTATAAACACACTTTATAAAGTCAGGCAACACTAACCAGGCTTCGTGTGATTCTGTTTATTTGTACCTTACTTTGACCATCCGTTCACTGTTATTGATCATTGTGGAGAGGCAGACGTTTTGTTTTGTATTGTAGCAGCTATCGGATGGAATCAATACATGGGCTGCACAGGTTGTCGTGTCCGACTATCACAAGTAGAATCATAATAAAAATACGCCGGTAAAATGTGCCTGTAGAAAACGGTTTATGCCACAATAGGATAGCAAGTAGTCAGTTTAGCTTCAGTTGCTATGCTAACATCACCCATTTTATACCAGAGAAACTTTCATAACAGCGTTGTGATGCCAAACAGCGTCAATTCAGACTGACACACATTCAGGAGAACTGGGGATATGTATCAGCTGCTTGTGTGAGTTGGACAGTGAATACTTTAGAGCGGCCGCTGCAGTGTGTGCTAACCGGGAGCTAACGGGAGAATAAACTCCCGTGGAAGAGCAGCCAACACTGCAGCGGTCGGTAAATGCCGCAGAAACACATTAATAAACAATGAACCACGGCACTCTGGAGAAAAGTATAAGGTTGGAGAAGTCGTTATTTAATTTAATCTGGCTTTGTGTGATTAAAAGCAACACGATCATCGACCCGACGCAGTTGTTGTTGTTGTGAGCGCCGTAACGCCGTTGGGGGGCAAATCAGCGATGTAAACGGTGACGTCATGACGCAGCAGCGGCAGCACCCAGTCGGGCTCTGGGCGGTGTGAACAGAGCGGGAGCAGAAAAGGGAAACCGGAGCTGAACCAGAAAAGCTCTAGCTCGGAGCTAGAAAGGGAAAAGCGCTGGTGTGAAAGCCGCATGTGTCTCAGGGGATCTTAATATTTAAGAACCTATTAATGTGTTATACCAGATTAACGGAAATAATCTCAGCTAACTGACGATACAAACCATTTTTACCAAAACACAAGTCTCATAAGAAGCATCTAAATGACCCCTGAGCGAAAAATGCTAACGCACTTTGGCACAGAACTCAAGATAAAAGTACCCTTATTACTTATCGTAGCTACACATACAAAATATCCGATTAAAGCTGAGGTTCCACAGATTATTTAGGTATATAGTATCATCACTGAGTGATCCGAACTCGGACAGGGGAAGCAAACACAGACATCACAACACGTACCATTACGGAGCTTCTAGGGGAGATCGTCTCAAAATCTCAAAAGACGTGTTCAATACCATTAAAACGAGAAAAAACCCGGCTGAATCGGTTAATCCATAGGTTTTTAACGTCTGTATAAAAAAATTATTTCATTTATAATCCATAATAAAAATGTTATGTAAAAATCGCAGAGCAAAAGTTAGCTGCTAATGGTAGCCACCAGAGTGGCTGCTGCTTCCGGTCTTGGCTATGCTGCAGTCCAGCGCAGTCTAACACACACACATTACCAAATAAGGAGTGAGAGTGACGCGTAGCCAAAACCGAAAGCTGCATACACTCTGGTGACTACCATTAGCAGCTAACTGTTGTGCTCCGATTTTTACATAAAAATTGAATTATGGATTATAAACAATTGCTTCAAAGCCACAGATACATTATCAACCTATGCATCAACCGATTCTGCCGCGTTTTCTCTCGTTTTAATGCCATTGAACACGTCTTTTGATTAGATTGACAGCTATGGTGAGACGATCTCCCGTAAAAGCTCCGTAAAAGGTACGTGTTGTGATGTCTGTGTTTGCTTCCCCTGTTGCGAGATCGGAACGCTTAGATACTATACGTAAATAATCTGTGGAGTCTCAGCTTTAATCGGATATATGGTATGTGCAGTTTCGATAAGTAATAAGGGTATCTTTATTTTGAATTCTGTGCTAAAGTGCGTTAGCATTTGAAAAGAAAAATGAAAAAAACCGCACGTCCCTGCGGCGTGAATATCGCGCATGCACATATCGCGGTTATCGCCATGATACCGGCAAGACTTCAAGAGAAAACGTTAGGCGTTTTAACCTAGTTCCTGTGTTTGTGATTTTCAAAAGGAATTTCCTGATATGTGGTGTTCGAAGCTGCTTTCAGCCAATGACACGAGACTACATGATTGACATTCATTTGCCCCAACTTCCCTTAACGCTGTTGGGCAAGCTTGTTCTCTTCCACCCACGCTGACACGTCTGCAAGGTTGTTTATTGTCATGAACAACTGGAACTACAGCTGCATTTTTTACTTCCTCGTAGCTCATGGTGTGCACTTCTGTAATGACATTTTTATGCTGACACCTGTATGCTGTTAAGGATGGGACAGGAACCAGCAGGGCAGAGACGTGCAAAGATACTTGGGCGGTACTGTTGCAATCTTAAAACGGCTCTCCTATTGTACTTTACTCCTTACTCAAGCAGTACATGCTCATCAGCATACATCCTGATCAGATACTTGATAAAAGGATGACACATCTGTCTTATTGAGCGGTCTTAATCGGTTACTCTTACCTCATATGCAGCTAGTCTGAAGGGTGTCTGTGTGATTTTAGGTTTTCTTTTACACATACTGCCCTAAAATATGAAGTGATTCCTGCTCTCGTGGGGCCACATGTGCATTTATTAAGCCTCGCCATTTGCAAGTGTTCCTTAACTCAGGGGAAAAGCCATAATCACAACTATGACATTACATTTCTGTCTTGGCACTTTTTCAGATTCCATTTTTCAAATCTAACCCCCTGAGAGAATCTGAACTTCAGGTTGAAAACTGCTTTTTTTTCAGCGCTGTGGTTAAATGTGTTCAGTGAAGTGTTGCATTGGGAACCTGCTCTGTGCAACACTACCCAACACATAGTCTCGCTTACAGGCCACACATGATGCACACAATTGTATGTTTTATTTGATGTGTATGCATCATATAGGATCATTTGTTGTGTATTCCCCTTGACGACCACACTTTAACAGTTTGAAATAGTCAGTAACAACAGTTCTGATTGTACTTAATGTCGTGTTTTTCCCGTGGCTCCTTGATCCTAAACTCTTCCTCCGTGTTGTCCTCCAGGGATGGCAGCAATCCGCAAGAAGCTGGTGATAGTGGGGGATGGAGCTTGTGGAAAGACCTGCCTTCTGATTGTCTTCAGCAAGGATCAGTTCCCCGAGGTCTACGTGCCCACCGTGTTCGAGAACTACGTCGCTGACATCGAGGTGGATGGCAAACAGGTGAGGCAACGTCACCGGCCATTGCCGCAACACCTCTCTCTTTTAATCTTTCAAATGTTTTGTGTTTGAATCAAGGACTACTTTTCTCCTTGGTGCTTAATCATGCTCCGGCTTTAATTCTACCTTGAGGGCAACGTGTGGATAAAACGCCACTGTTCCATTTTTCACATCTTCCCTCACATTGCAGCAGTCTGTTGCTAAGTCGGGCCTGTTTAAAGAGACTGCTTCCTTTGGGCTCTCAGATTGAATGGCAAAATGTTTGTCAGGGCTTCTGGGTCGTCTTTTACGTTTCTGTGTTCCATCAGAAATGCAGTCAATTGCTATGCTTGCTCACACTAACCAGGGCTCTTGAATTGTTATGTATTAGATTTTATAACAATGCGAAGACGTCCTATGAAAGATTACATGCCAAATCTAAATGAATCCTTTGTACCCCCAGAACCAGCACATTGTAGGAATATGTCTGTTTAAAACATGTATATCTCAAATTAAGAGGCATTTGCTCTCTGGAGTAAGACTCTTTGTGGCTTCCAGCTTCGGGGTGTACTGTATTTTTTTTTAAGCACACAGCTCCAAGTCATGACCTCATTATTGGGTAATGGGATGCTGGGATTTCGAATCTTTATTGGCTTTTTGGTTCTAACCCTTTTCGCTGCTGGGGTGAACTCTGACTACTTCTTGTCAAGTGTCAAACTCTCCAAATCTGGCTCCTTTTACCCGATTTAGCTTTGCAGTCTGCTCGGTTTTTATTTGTCAGCATAAGACCTCTTGAAAAAAAAAACGTCACATTTGTCAGTTATCCAAAGAAAATCCTTTTTTTGTTATTGTAAAACAGGACCACCTTTTTAATGAACATTTTACCTGCATTACAGAGATGCTCCACCAATAGAAATGCATGAGTTTCTGATTGAATCTCTTTTGTTTAGACTTGTAATTCTTGTTCCTATCATAGAATACCGTCCTCATGAAAATGAGGGGAAAGCCCCCGAGCCTTGAGCTCTGCCTCAGGAATCTTGTGATCATGGCGCAATAATTTCTTCTTGTCCGTTGTGGACCTTGTTTATTATCTCATTTACTTTGGGGCTTCAATGTGAAAGTTGTGCTGATCATATTGGACATGGTGTATTAACTTCAGTTCTTCCCCTTCTCTTTGTCCTTCTCCTCTCGATGTGTGTGTGTCAGGTGGAGCTGGCTCTGTGGGATACTGCGGGTCAGGAGGACTATGATAGGCTGAGACCTCTCTCCTATCCAGACACTGACGTCATCCTCATGTGCTTCTCCATAGACAGCCCCGACAGCTTGGGTGAGTACAAACCACACCCACCCACCCACACACATTCATACATGACATAAAATACCACATTGCAGAGGAACTGCTTACATTTGCACATACACACATACCCTGGAGTCTAGACAAATCGTGTGTCATTCTAGGGCATGCAGCAATGCTGGAAACGTAAAAAAGTCATCCAGTTCCTGTCCTAATGATTATGAACAGTACTTCTGTGATCACATCAAAATAAGGTGATATAAGCTGAAGATTATTATAGGTCCAGACTTAAATCAAACGGGATCAAATGAGAGGAAGTTGCTATTTTAACAAATGACAGCCCTATTGTACTAATAGTAATGAAATCGTTGTACATGACCATTTGTCAGACATACAGCTCCCCTTTTAAAGCTGTGCTTTTGCTGACCATGCTAGATTTGTTTTTCTTGATGCTCAATTGAGATATGGAGGCTCTTTTTATGTTTTGGGTTTTTTCCCCTGTCTCCAGTCACAAAATTATTTTTGCAGTCACTCACATTTTAAATCAAATAAAAAATGCTGCCATCTTGTGATTTAACTCTGTTAACTAATTTAAAGATAAGGCTAATTGCTGCGCCATCAAAGAGCTTTTGTGCGAGCGCTCCGTTGTCAGGTTTTCAATTGTAGCAACAAATGATACCAGCATTTCCTACGAATACGTGGGATTATTTACATACTAATTGAGAATGTCTTTATGGAGGCATACACGGAGAGGCAAGCGTTTCCGCCGATTAAACGTGTTTTGTGCGTTTAGGGACAGTGTCTCCAAACTGCACACCTCGGAAAAATGTATCATTGCTTCTGATTCGTCAACAGACTGAAGAGAATGTGTCATAGGATGCATAATAAGATTAAAACTATGTATTACACGGCTAAGTTAAATACTCTATTCTGATTGGTCAATTCATGAGACACGTTGTTAATACAGACCTAATACTTCGCTAATCTTCTTTTCACCATAATGACCGCCAAAAAACTATTTAACACGGATATCAAAATCATCCATGTTTTTGGGGGGGGGAACTATTTTACTCTGCACTAAAGATGGCCTGACTTCAAAGAGATATGTTCCTGTATTAAAGCATATAATGAATAAATAATATTTGGTGTTATGCTTTGTATTTTATATTGTTGTTATTATTGCCCTATTAAAGAAAACATGCCATATTTTGCAACCCAGCATGTGGACGGGCCGTCAGGGTCACTAAGAGTATTTGGTAAGACTATTATCAGTTAGATAATATCTGTCATAGTTTCTGTGAAAATACTCGATAATGGACACAATGGTGGCGCACGCTATACAAGTTGTAGTACAGTAGATTTTGTAGTAGGGCTGCAACAAACGACTAATTTGATAATCGATTAATCTATCGATTAATGAAACGATTAATCGACTATTCTGACTATTATGGCTTGCACAATTTCTCAAACGCTCTTATTTAGCCATCAACTTTTAGATTTAGCTTGAGGTGGTTTTAGGCATGTGGAAACTACCAATGAAGACAATAAAGATGAATACTTGATTCAAAAATACATATATTATTAAATTAACTTAACAAATTATTTACAAAATTAACATTGCTTTTTATTTAAATTAAATCAATAATATTTCACATCAAAAGAAACAACAATGTTTTAATAAATCGTATTAAATAATCTGATGACAGAATTGTAAACAGAATAGCTGAAACTTTAACAAAATAAAGAGTAACTCAGTTTCCTCTAATCATTAACCCATGTTTGTATCATTGAGTTAACTCTGTGTGTTGCTGCTAGCATACATAACACCTGACGTGGAAAGGTTACTCGTGGATGGAGCTACAGAGCTGCTAGAAAGACAGTTGAACCCGGTGCATTCCTCCGTCTGTATGTGGAGCACTTTTGCTCAATGTTTAGACAAATTGCTCGTGCTTACATGCTAAACTCTTATTGCACTTTTGGCAACGAGCATTTTCCACATCGAGACGGGTAAAGTTTAACCACACCTCGGAGCGCGTTCTCTCCGCCATCTCCGCAGTGTGTTGCTGCATGTAGCAGCTGCGTGTGTGTAAACTGCCCCGCCCCCTCGCACACAGAGAGATCTCGTCTGATCGAAAATACATCATAGACGCATTTGTTTGTCTTTTTGCATATTAGAAACGAGTTGGCGACACTAAGACTGCGATATAATGTTTTTGTAGCAATAATACATGACATATATTTTTTAAATGTCTCCTGTACCGATAAAAACACCAATAACGTTGGAGCTTAACGGCTCGTAAAACACACGTGATGACGTCAACGAATCGAGGACTGAATTAGTTGGCAACTAATTTGGTAATCGCTTAAGTCGATTAGTTGTTGCACCCCTATTTTGTAGTGAAGGAAAGTAAATACAAATGGGCTGTGAAATACATTTCAATGTGACAACTAAATGATCCTTTATACATTAACACATAACATGAAACGGCCAATAAATATTGATCTATCGTTTTTCCTTCACAGAAAACATTCCAGAGAAGTGGACGCCAGAGGTCAAACACTTCTGTCCCAACGTTCCCATCATCCTGGTAGGAAACAAGAAAGACCTGCGCAACGACGACCACACACGCCGGGAGCTGGCCAAGATGAAGCAGGTACGAGAATACCTGTCTCCTGTTTCTAATATGTGTGACTCCAAACAATTAAAATAAACAATGCAAAGAGTAGTTATTCAAATGATTAAATACCACAGCTTTCACCAGTATTTAGTAGCAGTTGGCTTTATCAGCTAGCATTTTCCAGACTTGGAAATGTCTCGAATGTGTCCCTGAACCATATTCTTGGTTTTCTCTTCACCCAATAGGAACCAGTGAAGTCGGAGGAGGGGCGAGACATGGCCGGCCGCATCGCAGCTTTCGGCTACATGGAGTGCTCCGCCAAGACCAAGGACGGCGTGCGGGAGGTGTTCGAGATGGCCACCAGGGCGGCCCTGCAGGCCCGCCGCGGGAAGAAGAACAATAAATGTGTAGTGCTGTAAAATAGCCGACACATTTGGACTGTTTTCAACCCCCAGGGGCAACTGTTCCCAGGGGGCTAGGGCTCGAGAGGGGCGGAGGGGGGATTACTAGACGGGAGAGGGAGGGAGAGACGGGGAGAAAAGAGTGCAGTAAATGACTACCGCTGTAAAATGGCTGTTTGTAGGACTGAATTTGCCCTGGGACTTGGGTTTGGGAAGCTTCGATGGACATGGACAGGGGGGGGGAGATTGGGGGTGGGGGGGCTGACTACCGCTGTAAACCATTGGGCTCTTCATCTGTTTGTCTTTTCAACAAGCCACTTACACTGATAAACACAATAAGGAGACGGCAGAAACTAGAAAGGTCTAGTTTCTGCCTGGATGACTTGACATATGGATAGGGGCAAACAGCACAGTAAATGAGTTCCACTGTAAACAGCCACCAGTGGACTCTTCATCAGGGGTTTCTACCTGGGAGAAGGGGGCGGGCAGTGTGAAGTTCGACAGGTGCTTTAGTTTCCTGGGGAGGATATTTGAACAGCCCCAAAAGTAGATAAATCACCAGTAAACAGTGATCTTCTATAAGCTTGCAGTTTAATTGAATTGATTGGGTTATTATGGGACAGTCAGTCTCAGGTGTCGTGGAGCTACATGCTCACATGTCCAGCTCGGTGCCATTTAGTCACGGCGGTCGCTAATCCTGTGCTCGCAGTGACAAACCCATCGAGCCGTACTCTTACTGAGGTGACCTGTCACAGAGCCGCCTCATAGTGAATGCTCTGTATTTCACACATTAATGAACAGTTTGAATTGAGAGAAATGTGTCCTTAGCAATGGCCTTAATGTAAAACTACTTCCTGTGCATCATCACTTGATCTGTAAATCAAATTGGCTTTCATTGCCACCTGTATTCTATCTTCACAGTGCAGTGTTTCAGAGGAAACGTTTACTCCATATGATAGGCATTAAAGTACCCACACGCTGGTGAATCTACTTCAGGATTGTCTTCTTAAATATCAAATTGAAGGAGGCAGGTGATCTGTGTTCCCATTGGATGATGATCTTCATAAGCTGACCAGACTCTGCTGCATCTCAGCTCCCGCCCCTTCCTGTTCCACAGACTGCTGGTGCTCATCTTCCTCTGGTCATAGACCGGGACAAAGAACAAGGAGAGAAGAGGACCGTGTTTACACCACTGATCTCCTTATCTGGGATGAACGACTATTGATTATTTCTTTGTGTGCGCATGTTTGAAGGTCAAATGTAAAACAACCTAGAACTCTTGGAGGGGAAATAAAGGTTATCTACAATATACATTTATACTGGTCAGCTGTAGCCATCTTCTTTAACATGACACACGTGACACATTAAAAAAAAAAAAAATCCTGTGCATGGTAATTGAGTTGTCAAGTTAGGCAGCCAGATAGATGTTTGGGTTAAACGTGCTGAAAATCTGTATCACTAACTAGCACAGTGAGCATTTATCACCTGCTGTATGTTGGATATTTTTTATTTGGGGTATTTCTTAAGGTCTTTCCATTCTAAGAATTGTAAGGGTGTGCAGATATATTTGGGATTCATCAGCTACCAGCCTTCCTTGACTTGTCTGCGTGTTTAGCTGGCAGATTCAGACCCTCCTGTTGTTCTTCCTGGCCTACAGGCTGTTCCAGAAACTTGGTCTCGTGTTTTTGTTTTTATACTTTATTTCCTGCTTTTAAAAAAAAGAAGAGAAACTCATGTTGTCTTATCAGTATTTAAAATAGGAGGTATAAGACTATGGGACTGCTTCTGTGTCGTAGCTTTAGTTTATTCTACTTTTTGTGCTTTACCTGATTTTTTTCTTTCTGATGATTTACAATTGGTTGTAAGAACCCGTCAATCATCCCTGCAAAATGCTGTTGTTAGGCAGTCAGGAGAAAGGCTGGCCTCTCGGCTGCCTGTCTAGAGCATCGCCGGCTCTTTGTCTGTTCTTTGTTTTGAACACGGCTGAGAAGACAAAAAGGAAAAACAATGCAAGTCTCCTTATTATGTACAAATCATTTTTATTTCTACTTTTATTGTATTTTTCTTAAATCCTGATTTTTGGGTGCTGAAGCAGTGACGTAAACAAAGGAACAGGAAAACCAAGCTGTATGCAAAGTCTGTAAATATGAAATGTGGGTTTGTTCATACTAGACTATACACACGCACATGACTGGAAACTATTTGTAAACTAGCTTTGGTTTGTGTAATAAATTACTTTCTATAACACTCAGCTCCTATTCATTGTTGTCTCAAGTGGGGCATGGGGAATGGCTCTTCAAGTTCAATCAATACACATGAAGCATGAATGAATGGTGGATTCATTTCAGACTCCAGACTGAACACCTGAATCATAAACTGAAAATAATGCAACCATTTTAGAGGAACAAATGGGGAAGTGTTAAGACTCAAATTAAATACTTTCCACCCAAAATAGAGTTTACAATTAATTAGTTTTAATTTGACTGGTCACGGTTATGCTGAATGTCAGACTGCAACATACTGGAATTTGACCACTTTAATGCATCCATGGTTGACACTTAACATTGAAGGAAGGATCACATAGTGAGTAACATGCAATGAGGGGTGAGTTTGTTGTATTCATGTTTGAAATATACTTTTAATTCAAGCAACTGCTTTTCAAACCCCTTAAAGCTACAACTCCTAATGTGAAAAAACAATGCATTGAATAATGAGTATAGTTATTCGAAATGCAAGCTGAGTGGGTTTTCCATGTTTCTGGTGCAGAGGCACAGATCATTCTGAAACTGAAATCCCACTGCAGCTCCTTTTGATCAGAGGGACTCCCACGCAGAGCCTTGTTTGATCATTAATCAGTCGCCCAAACACCCTTGTATCACTGAATCCAAGTGCTAGTTTTTAGGATTTCAGATAAATATCAAAGCCCACACCAGCAGGCATCTCTTGAGAATGTGAACCTCCTCTTGACTTGTGTTTTAGTGTGCCAAGAAAAACAACAACAGTCTTATCCCAAAATGAACAAACTACATATGTACTGTTTTCCTATCAGACAGCTTCATTTCAAAGGAAAGTAAATCAATATTGTGTCCACTCATTATCATAAATTACGTTTAATTAAAACACATACACATCGGTTAATCAGGATGACTGTTGAAAGGAAAGCAGAAAGCAGCACCACACCACAGCCTCACTACACTAGTGCTGCAGAGAGAGAAGTGTGTGGGATGGCGAGGTGAGCCGTTTTTCAGACTGTGTGGGATGAAGCTGGATGCTGTGGAGTAATATGCAGAAGCTTCCACTGGCAGAGAGTGAGGAACTGCTATAGCCAATATCAAACATAGGGAGTTGTATAAGTCACTGCGGAGGAGTGGGAATAAAATGGATGTGTGTGCAGGATGGCACTCACAAGAAGTAAGCACTTACAGTAACCTTTTAGTCTAGAAACATATATATTTAGCCTCATGTGCAGCACATATCACATTTGTATAAATGATGTGGAGGAGGGATTTCAAGTTGTAGTAAATGTAAGGATGGATAGCAGGAGGAGGTCTCCAGTGATGGTTTACAAGAGGCGTAATGGGTGGATGTGAGAGGAAACAAGAAGTCAGCCTGTGAAAGAGTGAAAATGACTCCCTCAATCACATCACCACAAGCCAGAACAATGTCAGTACCTAATGGCCACAGAGCTGCAATGTGTTAGCTTCAATGAGATTCAAAGAGCACATCTGCTGGATTGCTTTGTAGCGAAATATAGGGCATTTGTCCTCCAGAGCAAACTCTTCTTTGCCCAAATAGCAGCTGCTGAGGTTGTTCCAATATTTCTCTCTGTTTTTTTCCAAAGACATAATAGCATGATGGAAAAAGTATGTAGAAGGAGAAAATACTAAGAAAAAGAAAATGTTATAGGAACAAAATTAAATGTTTAATCTACAAATGTGGAGATCAATAGCATTCACTGGACAGGAAGAATATAAAAAACGAATCTATATTAGTAACCATGGCTTTTGGATAAAGTGGTGGAGTAAAAAGAAGGCTACAGATCTTTTCGCCATTTGAGTGGCAGTAAAAAAGTTCAAAGAGTACAAGTACCTAAAAATGTGTTGGCTACTTAAAGACAGTTTGACTAAATGTTCTTAGTTTACATTAAACTGCTGCATTTCAGTGTTTTCATTAGCAACTTCAATATCATCATCATCATGAATAAAACTGCTGTTATTCACATTGCTTCACTCTAACAAGGCTACACCCAAATGGTGTCATACATGATATTAACAGATGCTACATGATGCTATCTACATCTCTTTCTGGTTAATGGTACAAAACTGCCACATAATGCACAACCATGTTGACTGGCTGACACATTACTGGGCTTTGAATAGACACTTATTTAACACAAGAGGCAACTTGTTGGAGCCACAGTGGTTCACCTCAATCTCAGCTTTAGTATTATGGTTATTCATCACTTATTAACAGAGTCTATGCGAGGGAAGTGACTGTGGCTCTCTGGAGAGACATTCAGAGCGAAACCACAGTCAAAGGGGAAGGAAGGAAGTTCGTCACTGCCTGCTCCACCCAAAACTGGTGGCCGGGCATCATGTAAGACACGCTGCCTAAAGTGCCTATGGTGCAACACTTATAGAGGAATGAGCTGGAGGGAAGCCGCTGAGGGAGACGACGCTGTTCCCAGTTTCTCTCAGCGTCTCCCCCTCTCTCCCTTCCTCTCCTGCGGCTGCCGGCTGGAGAGGAGTAGCGCGCAGTGGAGCTCAACAGCCGGCTTTATATACCAGTCTATTTTTAGCCCTTCGCAAGCCCAACTATTTTAAACCAATATGAGCTCATCACCGACCCGAGTTGTCCAATGGGATGAGAGGCAGAGGAATAGGCCGTCCAATGGTAGGGAGAGAGAGGGGAGAGGAGGCGGGCCTACACAAGAGCCTATCATCTGCACTTAAACAGACAGCAGTGTGTCAGAGAGACAGACCTCCTCACTCTGCCGCTTTTCCAAGGCACCACACACTTTTAACTATTCCACTAACCTCAGGGGGACAATGCATTCTCTCACAGCAGGGGATTGTATCCCAATAAGTTAAACAATGAATATTAGAGCTGTCTTATCATATTAAGAACATATAACATGTTCTCGCTCAAAAAAGGCGGGGACTTTATGTTGCTCAATTTACACTAACTGAAATAGACAAAACAGGTAGGACAAGGACAGCAAATAGCCTATACACAAATAACTGTAAATAGTTTACATGTTTTCTTTTATATTTTAGCTATCAGCTTAAGGTTGTTATGACATTTTGAGGACAATTCCACCCTGTCATGAATTTATCTAATTTAACATAGGGTTCAACATAATTGAACTCTGACCTGTGACACTGTGAGACCCACATACGTAGAGCCAGTTACAGAGAGAATTTGGGATGACCCCTAAGATTTCCTGTCACTGTGATCATGTATGCTGCTGCATCATTGAACAATGATGAAAGAAATGCCTGTTTCTACTACTGATGAAAATTCATCTTTTTCGTAGACGATCTTTGGGGTAGGTCTCGCTGCTCTGAGGTGTGATTTTTGGAGCAAGGCTATGACAAGAATTACCCCGTGACTGTGAGTCATGCACACCCACCTAAATTGCTTCCCAAAGTTTTATTTTTAGACAGTCCGCACCGAAACACAACGCCCTGTGACCCATTTGTTTCTGTTCCTCCGGTGGGACAAGTTTATAGTCCCAATGACACATTTAACCTAAAAAAAGACTGGTTTGTGTTTCCCACAGTTGACCGCAAAAATCATGTATTATTCAACTTTTCAGACTTACTGTGATTACTCAACCTCAATGCAGATGTTCATATTTTATTGTAGGTTCGTTCACCACTGCCTACCGTTTAGCACCAGTCGCGCTCCCGTCAGCCGCGCCCCCGCACAAAAGGTTCCAACATTCATGGTTCCAACACACCACAACGGGAGCGCGCAGGACGGTCAGACCCGCTCCCTCCAAAACACCGACTCCACCCTGTCATACAATTCATCACATCTGCTGAATAATTTAAATCCAAACAATTCCTTGGGATTAAATTGAATTAGAATAAAATGCAAAGGCATAAACTATACTTGACTAGTGTAAGGCAATGCTACAACAGTAGGCTATTTATTTATTTTTTCTCTGATAAAATTACAAAAGGCATAGGCCTACCACAGAAAATGTAAATAATTTTAGAGATTAAGACTCCTCACTGAGACCTTTAAACACATTATATCAATTGGGTGCATGCTTTAAAAAAGACATAGTAAGAATAGCAACCTTCTTTTAGAAGAATAATCTTAATGGAAAACCATTTGTGTGCTGGTGCCTGGTGTCCTGTCAATTATTTGATATGTAGTGATTAAAATGGAACAGAAATATTAAAAACCGTATAAATAGCTGTATATATACAGTCTATGATAAATAGTAATTTTGGTTATTGCTTAATTCTCCTTTATAAACATCTCACTTATTATTTAATTTTCTCACCACCCTTGTAATGAAGCAAAGTCTCTCTTGAAATACAAGTTTTGGCCTGTGTGATTCACAGCAAGTAAGAAGCCAGCAAAAATAAAATATTCATTTTAAAATGTCAAACATACTCGGAACCACATTTAATGTAGCCTACCAATTTCCCCTCTCCTCGACAAACAAAATGCCCCTATCACACACTGACCTCTAGTGAAATAACGCTGTAATTACGTCTTTAATGTATTTATGACAAGTTGTTTATCTTCTTAAGTTACTTCTGCAGCCCTGACCTGTTTTGCTCACTCACAGCGTGAAGAAAGATTTCCAAATTGAGCAAAAAATACAATACACTAATCAAGTCTCGTTGGAAGTTTACTCTCAAGCACATTCTGACGGGACGTCGACGAGACGAGAGATCTCGCAATCAGGTAAGTGGCGCGAAGAAACGTAAGATGGCAGCACAGCCTCACTTGTGCGGAGCAGAAACTCCTAATATCACCATGCACTCACTGCAGCTTAATTAAGTTAGAGAAGCACATTGCGACGGTCCACAGCCACATTTGGCAAGATTGTGTTACTCCCATCCTTTTATGACAGATGTATGCCCTCTCTAACTATGCAATTGTCTTACAATGACATTAAATATATGAAATAATCAAAGTTTAAACAACCATGTTTAAACATGCTAACTGGTACAGTAGCCCTTTAGTCTCACAGTCACAGAGGCCTATGACCTAGCTTAACAATG